GCTTCTTTTGATGTACAGAAGCTTTTTAGTTTAATGAGGTCCCATTTGTTGATTCTTGACCTTGTTTCCTGGGAAGTTGATGTCCGGTTTAGAAAATCCTTTCCTACACCTATATCTTGTAGATTATTGACAATGTTTTCTTCTAACGGTTTCAGAGTTTGTGGATTCACATTGAGGTTTTTGATCAATCTGGAGTTGACTTGTGCAAGGTGCAAGATTGGGGTTTAGTTTCATTCTTCTACAGGTGGAGATACAGTTTTGCCAACATCATTCGTTGAATATGCTGTCTTTCCTCCAGTGAATGTTCTTGGCCTTTTTGTCAAATATCAGGTGGCTGAAATTGCATGTACTCCTATTTGGGTGATATGATATTATATCTAAGAGATGCCAAAAATTCCACCAAAAAAAAACCTCCTAGAAATTATTATCACATTCAGTAAAGTGACAGGTTACAAAATTAATGTACAAAATCTGTAGCCTTTCTACAAACAGAGAAAGAGTACATTGAAACATTTCCCTTCACAATAGCTGCAAAAAATAAAATAAAATATCCAGGAATAAACCTGACCAAAGACATTAATGTCCTCTACAATGAAATTTTTAAATCCATAAAGAAAGATATTGAGGAAGACAACAGAAGGTGGAAGTGCCTCCCATGCTCAGGGATTGGAAGAATTAATATTGTGAAAATGACCATCCTACCAAAAGCCGTTTATAGATTCAGTGCAATGCCAATCAAAATGCCCATGACATTCTTTACAGTCTTGGCAAAAAATGTCCTAAGATTCATATGGAAGCACAAAAGACCTCAGAGAGCCAAAGCAACCCCTGAGCATGAACAACAAAGCGGGGGAGATTACTATACCAGATTTTAACTGTATTATAGAGCAATAGTTGTAAAAACAAGATGCTACTGGCACAAAAATAGACCCATAAATCAATGGAACAAATTTGAAAATGTCGTTATTTTGCATTTATTTTTTTATGCAAAAAATTGCTGTGGAGCATGTGTTTTGCAGCCATGAGAACATCTTTATTCCTAAAGCTGTAGATAATGGGGTTGAGTGTGGGTGTCAGGATGGTGTAGAATATTGCCAAGAACTTATCCTGGCCTGGAGTGTGGTATGATTGTGGTCTCATATATGTGAGAATAAATGGCCCATAGTACATTATGACCACAACCATGTGGAAGGAACAGGTGGAAAACGATTTTTTACGTGTGCCTGATGACTGCATTTGGAGAACAGTCCGTAAAATTTGTATATAAGACAGAGTGATCATGAACAGAGGTATCAGCAGGAAAATAATGCTATTTATATTGACTGCTCGTTCATAGTGTGATGTGTCTACACAAGACAATTTCAACATGGCCGGGATTTCACAGAAAAAGTGATCAATGGCCCTAGAGTGACAGTAGGGAAAATGCAGCACAAGAGCTGTGTGGACTATGGAGTTGGAGATTCCCACGAGCCAGGATCCTGCAGCCATGAGCCCACTGGAGTTCTCCCTCATCAGCACAGGGTACCGAAGTGGGTGGCAGATGGCCACATAGCGATCATAAGACATGGCTGCCAGGAGAAGGCACTCACCACCTAGCAAGGTGATGGACAGAAATATCTGGAAGGCACAGCCTGCAAAGGAAATAGTTTTGCTGCCTGACAGAAAGTCAGCGATCATTTTAGGAACAATGTTGGAAATGTGCAGGATATCCATGAAGGAGAGATGGCTGAGCAGGAAGTACATTGGGGTATGCAGTCGAGGGTCCCTGCGGATTAGGAGGATCATGAGGGAATTTTCTATTATGCTCATAATAAAAATGAAGAATACCAATGAGAAAAAGACTAGACTTGTTTGTGAAGAAGAGAACAGTCCCAAAAGAATGAAGTCGGTGTTGAAAGTATGATTATCAAGTCCCATCATGATTCCTCCTGTTTTACATAAAAAGTCCATAGTTATTTAATTAGAAAAAATGGTTAAGTCTCAGGCTCATTATACATAGATATAATAACTACATAATAAAATGATTTAATGTTATATTCTGTATTCAACAACAGGTGCCCTTAGAATTGACATGTTGTTCAGGATAGGATAGACATTTATTTAATCAGACAAATTTGTGCTATTTATTGTATCCAATTGGTCTGTTTCTATATTTTAGTTCTCATAATTTCAACTAATTCTCATAGTTTTAGTTGATTCCATATACTTAACATAAATCCAGTTATTTATAAATATGCCTTCCAAAGGATGCCCATGTGTGTACACTCTTTAAATCTCGCTGCTCCACTGGACTTACTTTGGTTGGAATGCTGTGGTAGGTATCTTGCTATAACTTGGGTTCCAGCCAAAGGTCTGTATAAGCATTAATTAATTTATTAATTAATTATTCCTGCTCTCTGTGCTCTGTTCCACCATGGCATCTTTGAACTTCACTTTTCACCTTCTATCATATTGAATAATAAGTACATGAGTCGTGTTGATTGTTCGCTGTCATGATTCCATCTGAGGTTTTAACCTCATCATAATTTGGTCTGTTCACAGGCAGAAACCAAAAGCCTAGAACAGAAACGGGTTTACATCATTTTCTAGGTAATATTTGTTGAATTTGCAAGTAAAATAAATTGTCCATGCCAGAGAACAGATCCCCTCCTATGATCCTGTGAGTATGAGTAACTCCTCTGGTCATGCTCCAAGGCATCCACAAAGAGCAAAAATAAATATAATTACCATGAGTCTGAATTTTTCTCCAGTGAATTTCCTATTAGATAACACATATGGAGAACAAAGTATCAGATGTCTAAGGTTTTTCATGGTAATAAATAAGGAATAACACTAAAAGTTATCTAAGTTCTGTAAGGTTGAACATCATCTTTGTTTTAAAGGAAAGGATAACAGCTCAATCTATTTAAAATAACTAAAGCAGTTTAATAATATTTTCATTGATTCTTTGAGAATTTCATACAATGTGTTTTCATAATATTCTGACTCACTCCCCCATCTCCTCTCTGATCCTCTCCACCTACCTACCCCCAACTCCATCGTTAGGAATATATTTTAGTTTAATTTTAAACTTAATAATTTAGCTATTGGGGCTGAAGACATGGGTCAGTGGTTAAGAGCACTTCCTGCTCTTCCAGAGGACCAGGGTTCAGTTCCCAGCACCCACATGGCAGCTCACAATTATCTATAACTCCAGTTCCAGGGGACTCAACCCTCTCTCCTGACCTCCACGGGTATCGCAGGGCACAGTATACCTAGGTACATGCAGCCAAAACTTACTCATACACATAAAATAAAAATAAGGTGATTTAAAAAAATGTAGCTGGAATTTGTTAATTCTGTTGTTTCTTTAGATTGCAGTTATGCAAACCTTGTATTATCAGATGGTGTTTTTCATCATCTAGCTTCAAATATTCCTAATGCTAGTGTTGGATGAAGCTGTAACACACAACTCACACATCTGTTTCTTCTACATTAGAGTTAATCAGAGAATATGCTTTCCACGTATTTTAAAGTGTTAACTTTTTCAAAAAATATTTGAATCTGTGATTTCTAAGAAATTCTTATACTTTCTGAGAATACCTCTCTCTTTATAAATATGCAAGGATTTATCATGCATAAAAATAATCAGTATGTTGAATATAAAACAGTTACTGTGGATTATTCTCCACATAAATTATTTAAACTTAAAATGGCCATTTCAATGGAAAATGGGCTCCAGTTATAGAGAAAAGAAACAATAATGTCAGGATGGACTGTGTTGATGATTCTGTGCTAAGACATTTAATACAGTAGAAGGAATGGCCCACAATTATTTTTCCAAACTGACTTTGACACTTCTTTCAAATGACTGTGATTCAGCATCAGTGTGTGTATAAGTAAGAGACAGAGACAGAGACACATGTGGACAGAAACAGAGATGCTCACCATATCAAAATCCTTTGCCATGAAAATTTATTTAAGGTCTTTAACTTCTATTGTCCATTAACGCAACAAGTTTGCACAAGTAGCTGAACTGATTTCTATCTACGAAGCTATGTGGGTCCCGCTGTGCTTATCCACTTGGTGAATCAGGCTGTGCATAGCTCATTAATGAGCAAATGCTCCCCTAAGTTCAGCCCTGCTTGGAAAAACTTTTTAAATTTCAGATTCAGGGATAGCTCAGACTCTTTTTTTTTTGTCTTTTTGAGACAGGGTTTACCTGTAACCCCAGCTGTACTGGAACTCACTATGTAGACCAGGCTGGCCTTGAACTCATAGAGATCCACCTGCTTCTGCCTCCCAAGTGCTGGTACTACAGGCATGTACCACCAAGCCCGGCCAGACTCTTATTAGACTCTTATCTCATAAAGAGTTTATGCTTTAGTCCTTTCTACTACTTGGTTTTATTTTTATTTTATTTGTTTGCTTGTTTACTGTTGTGTCTTTGCACACACAATTGCACACATGATGTGTATGTGCATGGACATGCATGCCCCAGTTCTTGAGTGGAGGTCAAGGTACCACTTTTCTGGAGTCAGCTCTCTCCTTCTACCTTTTACATATGTTCCAGAGATCAAACTCAGGTCATCAGGTTTGAATGACCAGTACCTTTGCCTGCTAAGTCTCCTAGCTGGCCTCCATTTAGTAGTTACAATAGCTCTTAAAATACACTACATATGCATCAAGATAGAATTGCTTAGATTACATTTATGCATTTATCCAAATGAAATTTTAATATTGGGTTGAACTAATTTCTGAAAGTCCAGGTGACTTATAAGAGCATTGTAAGTTAGTTTTAAAATAAATATGGCATATTACACATTTGTAACTATTACAGAATCTTATACATTTTATGATCAGAATTTATAATAGTAAATATTAATAATAAAATATCACTAAATTAGCTTCAATGGAGGAAGACAGTAACTCTGAACCCCCTGTGGTAATAGTTTGTTGATCTGAACAGCTCCATTGGATCATAAACTTCAGTATCTTATAGCATAATATTATTTTACTATGCTTTATTCAAGCTGCGTAGCTCTTATTTTCACATAACATAGAAATTAAAGATACTATAGTTACAACTAGCCTGCCTCTAGTTTCTCCACATATAAATGTTTATTTAATGCTATTAATAGGCA